TGTAAAACCCGTGAATTCTGGCCTCCTTCCTTTTTCTGTCTCCAACTTTCTGTTCTTTGGTGATTGAAAGGGACGGCGGACCATCGGATTTTTTTCTTCTAGATCAGCTTTCCTTGGGAAAATCCTAAATTCTCCAGTTGGGTTTCTTGGGGGAGGGGCAATTTTACTGGTCTGCAAAATCCACACACCTGGGGCCCACTTGCGCCAAGCCGGGGGCGCTGCGCTTCCCGACTGGCCCGAAGGCGCACTCTGCACACCCAGCAGTCGCGGGGGCTGGAGCTGGGGCGGGATCGGGGGCGGGGGCCCTCCCGGCGGGGGGCGGCTCTGCGGCAGCCGGCTGGCGTGCGGACGAGGCCTTCTGCCACTCTACGGAAATCTGTGCGCACCGCCACAGATGGGAGAAGGAGCCAATATTCAAATTGGAGGCTGTTTTGCTAACACGTTAAAGATTAACGTGCTTTTACTGGCTGCCGCATACTGTGGCAAGATGGGTTTCTTTCTAAAAAAGAACAAGGAGAAAGAGAAGCAGCCTGTGTAGGGCCAGTGGGGGGGCTGGCAGCGGGTGCTGGGCAGCCCCTCGCCACCTCCTCTTGTCCCCACTGGAGCCCAAGCGAGCCCAGGGCTCTGAAACGCAGCCCATCTCCAGCTCCAGCGCCCTTGCCCTGAGTGCGCAGAGACTCGGCCCGCCTACGGGCCTCTGCGCAGCCGGTGCCCCTTCGTGCTGGCTGTAGGTTCCTGTCCCTTTTCTAAAGACTCAGACCGCCTTGGCCTGGAGATTCAGTTGGTTGGAGCGTCGTCTCGTACACCAAAATGTTACAGGTTCGATTCCTGGTCACCACTAAGTTGCTGGTTTGATCCCTGGTCTGGGTGCACATAGAAGGCAACTGATCAATGTTTCTTTCTCACATCGATGTTTCTCTTTCTCTCTCTCTCTCCCCCTTCCTCTCGCTCTAAAATCAATTGAAAACATGTCGTCTGGTGAAGATTAAAGAAATCTTAAAAAAAAAGAAAAAGGGACTCAGACCATGCTGGCTGGGTAGCTCCGTTGGTTAGAGTGTCCAACCACCAAAGTTGCTGTTCTGGTTTGATTCCTGGTCAGAGCACACACAAGAATCAACCAAGGAATGCATCGCTAAGTGGAACTCAGCCCAAATACAAATATATGTATATGTCTGATACATATACGCACAGCCACGTGTAATGACTGCGTGAGCCACGACGTATCACAGGCCAACACGGTGCTCAGCGCCTCCCTGAGCAGCCTTGCTGAACCCCCCAGGGGACACTCCAATTATCCTCGTTTCTCGGAAGCGGAAACCGAGGCACAGAGAGATGAAGTAACCTGCCTGAGGCCCCGCGGCCAGGAAGGGGCTTTGAGTGCAGGCAGAGGGACTTCTACGGCTAAGCTCAGCACCTCCTCCACAGCCAACAAGTCCCTCCCTCCCCTGGGGTACAGCCCAGCCAGCTTGCACCTGGGGACAGAGCAGGGGTTCTGCGGGTCTTTGTGGGTTGAAATGGGCTCTTTGAGGGGTCTAATTGCACTTTTTGCAAAATGGGGCAAAAGGTGGAAACCTGGGCAGGGAGGTTGAGCCCCTAACAGGAGTGGCTGCAGAAAGCCTGGTGGGCAGAACTCACCGCCCCCCAGCGCAGAGCGAGCGGGACCGCCCCAGGTCTGCGGTTCCTGTTTCTTCTAAGAGCAGCCTCAGGGCCGGGCGCCCTCTGATGGCCAGTGGCAGTAGTGCAGCCAGCTGAGCCCTGGGGCGTTCGGCGCAAGGAGAGAGGAGACGCAGGGCCGGCACCCTGTGAAAAAGGGCCTCTGGTGGGGCCCGAGGTGGGCACTTGCCCTTGTTCAGGGCTGCTCAGGGAGGACTGAGGCCGCCGACGACCTCCTCCCCCGTGCCCTCTGGGGGCAAGGGCCAGTGGCGACCCATAACACAGGCTGGTCTAGGACAGGGCCCCTGAGGGTGGCTTTCTAGTTTACTGACGCTGAATGAGGACCATTCCTCCGAGATTCCAGAACAGCGGTATCTGCAAGAGGCCTCCCACCCATGCCCTGGAGGCAGCCACGCTGGCGGCCAGGAACTGGCGGATCTGGCTCAGCCGCGTTCTGCTGCACCACCGCACCCGCCCCCGCCCCCGCCCCAGGCAGGCTTTATGCAAACGGAGCCTTGCTTTCCTTATCTGTGAGCTGGGCACAGTGGTGATCTCAGAGGTTGGGGGCGCAGATTCCAGGGGGCCCCTGTCCCCAGGGTGATCCTGATCATGTGCCAGGCTGGTCCGGAAAGGAGGGACTTCACCGGTGGGCACAGGGGGCCCGAAGGGGCCGCACGAGGGAAGGGCTCCGCAGGAGGCAGCCAGGGACCCCACCGAGCCCCAGCCAGGGCCTGGAGCCCGCGCCCTGGGCTCCCACTGCGCCCCCGTCCCCCTCACATACCCCACGACGGCCAGCATCAGCGAGCTTTGCCCAACACTCGCCTCTGGGCCAAGACTGGGAGCGTCCCTGCGGCCAGCGGGCTGCCGGCACGTGGTCGGGTTCAAGGACCTGCTGACTGAGCAGTGACCCTCAAGAATCACCTGGCCAAGCCCCTGCCCCCGGGGCCCCTGCAGGGACCCCCGCCCCCCTCAGGTCTCGGGCCCTCCCCTGGGGCAAGAGCACAGCCAGCAGCGGCTGTGTCCTGCGCCCAAGTGTGTCCGCTGTGACCCAGCCGGAGACGCTTCCGTGAGATGCGTCCTGCCTCCGCAGCCTGGGCGGGGAGGGCCGGGAGGCAGGGAGCCCTGGGCAGAGCTCGGGGCCTGGAGTTCCTCCTGCGCGCGGGCCGTCCGGCCGCCCTCTCGCCACCCTCCCCTTTACCCTGCGTCGTCCCGCTTATGTGTGGGCACCCTGGGCATGTCCAGGGCTGACCCTTGGCCCCACGCGCGTGGCCTCGGCTGGCCCTGGGCTTCCCTGCCGGACACGGCTGAGCTCGGGGTCCCTGTGCAGCAGGGTGCGGTCCTCGCTCCCCCCGCCCCCGCCTCTGCCCCCCAGACAGCCCGCGTGCCCCTCCCCAGCTGTGGGAGACAAACCTGCCTCCAGACGCGGCCCAACGCGCCCCCCACCGGGGAAAGCCACGCCCCTCCCCGCCCCAGGACGGCTGGCCTGGGCCTCTGCGCCCCGGCCCCTCTCCGTGTGCAGCCCCAGCCCGCGGGCCGGCCCCTCCCTGCCCCCATCAGCAGGAGGGGCTGGGCCCTCTGCCCGTGAACTTGCTTCTGTCGCAACTGTCCCCAGCGTCCTGGCTGGCACCCCGGACCCTCCCCCCCGGCCATGCCCAGTCAGTCCCTGGGTCAGCAGATGCCGGCTTCTCCATCTCACCGAGGTCCGCTGCAGGAGCCCGGCTGCCCGCCCCCGCCCCCGCCCCCGCCCTCAGAGTCTGGCTCCCTCGGGCCCAGCAGGGCTGCAGCCTCCCCCTGCCGCCCACAGCCCTGAGTGCTGGCCGGGACCCTGGCCAGGGGGCCGCCCCAGGCCCCTGGAACCAGGAGCCGTCCCAGGGCCGGGGCGGGTGGGGACAGGTGTCAGACCCCCGGCAGCCAGGCATGCAGGGCTGCCACTGGGCAGACGGGCTCTCCGGGACCCAGGCCGGGGCCCGACCAGAGAGCTGGGGAGCCCCACGCTGAGCGCTGTGGGAAGCGGCTTCGCTTTGATTGCAGCATTTGTTGGTTTTTTTCTTTTTAACGTTCAAGCTGTCAGAAAAGTATGTTTGCTGAATCGGGATGTTTGTTTTGGGTTGTTCTCTGGAACAAGATGGAAAGCAGCGGAAATAACTGTTCTGCGAAGCCAGGGTGGTAGGTGGCACACGGCAGGGTGGCCGGAGCACCCGGGGTGACATATGCCTGGCTTGAGGGACCCGGTGCTTAGAGCATGCCACCCCCACCCCGCCCGGCCCCGAACCTGCCCTTGACGGGGCCTCACAACCAGGGCCGATGGGGGGCAGCGTGGGGCTGGGCAAAGCCGGCCCTGGGATGTCGCCGGGCCCGGCCCCCGGCGGCTCCCCACCATCCCTCCGCCTGCTCGGTGTGGCGCTGTGCTGTTGACCGGGAGGCGGACCGGGAGACTTAGGAGAACACAAGAAACAAGACGAGGTGCGTGTGGACCAAGATGTGGCTACTTCAGCCAGCGAAGGGGCCGTGGGCAGGGGGGCACTCCGAGCTCGGTGCGCGGGAGGCGGCTTCTGCGCGGGAGGCCCGTGGCCGTGAGCTGTGCTGCTCCGGACCCACAGCCTCGCACCTGCCCCGACGGCCCCCGACCCTGCTGGGCGTGTCCTGTGTCCCCAGGAGGTGAAGGGAGGCAGGGGTGCTCTGAGAGGACAGGCGGGGGCGGTGGACAGACGCGACCCCTGACTGAGGGCCGCAGAGCCCGGGCCCGGCCCAGAGCTCCAGGGCGACCGCGATGCTGGGGGACCGCGGGCCTCCTGGGAAGGGGACCCGACTCTGGTTCCTTTGTCTCTGAAAATGGGACATTTCCTGGGGCGTGTGTGTCATCCTTCCGCGCTGAGGTCCCCAGGTCCCCTTCCTGCTTCATTGCTGGCTAACTCGACGGGACCTTCAGAGCCCCCTGCGCCCTGTAGGGAACGGCTGGTCCCAGAAATGGCAGGAGGGAAAGAGGGGGAGGTGCCGGCCCCGAGCCCGGGGTCCCCCGGCTCTCCCAGCAGCGCAGGGGCCTCCGGAACCTGAGTGTGCGGATGCGCAAGGTCCCCAGGCAGGTCTGAGGACACACAGGTCTCTCCCAGGGCTCGGAGGGCCCTGGTCCAGGAGACATCCACCTGGGCCCCCCAGGGTCAAAACACCCACATCCACCAAAAGACACGGAGCAATAGGTCAGCCCCTAAGGTCCCCATGGGCTCCCTGGGAGACTGTGCACAAGGGCCAGCCCTGAATGAAGGGGCGGGGCCGGAGGGGCTGGAGAGGGAGGGGTCCTGCCTTGGCTCCAGTGAAGCAGGAAGAGGCTCCTCTGTGTTGTGATTTCCGATCTGGACACGTGGGGGCCCTGCAACCCCAGGACCCAGAGCAGAGCCTGCCTGTCCACGCGGCCCCTGGCCTGTTGTTTCCTGGAAGCAGGCCTCCCATTTCCTAAGAGCCTGGAGTAGCGGCAAACAGTCTCCTACCCGAGAGAGTTGTTCTGACTTCATTGTTCCAAAGGTCGATTCCTCCTCCGGTCGTCTCCCCACAGACACGCCAGGCCCTGGAGTTGTTTCGTTTCTTTCGTCCTCTGGCTGCTCCATCTTTCTGCCTCATCCGTCCCGTGAGTAGAAGTGGGTGGCCTCCAGGGGTGGCCTTGGAGGCCAGGGGTGTGGACTGGCACCAGGATGTGGCCAGGAGCCGCCACGTCTGGGGGTCTGCGGGGTCCCCGCTCTCCAGGCGCGAGGCACCCGTTCCCCCCGCCCCTCCGGGCCCAGCCTGCACGTGGCTAATCGCCCCACAGCCAGGACCCGACTCCCCGCTCGGGGTCCAGGGCGGGCCGGGCGGGTGTGAGGGCAGCGTGGGGGCCGAGTCCTGTGTCCCCTCCCTGGCTTGGCCTGAGCCCGGACCTCCTGCCACCCGAGAGGACTCAGGCTGGGCCTTCCCACACTCTGCCAGGCTTCGCGTCACTTGGGATGAACGGGGACACTTCTTACTCTGTCCCAGTCGGAGTCACGGAGATGGCAGAGGAGACGGGTTCCGTCGGCTCCGCTGCTTCTATTTGCTTAGGAAGTGACCGCAGTCCTGCTTTCTCAGTGACAGGGAGCTTGTCACATGACGGTGGGCTGTCCCTCATGCACCCAGTGGAGCAGGGTGCTCTCCCCAAAACGGGGACCGGCCCGCAGCGCTCTGGGGTGACTGGCGGTACCGTTGGAAATACGCTAACGCACCTGAACGTCTCCCCCGAAAGGCTCCCTCTGCGGCTGCCAGGATGCCCGTCGCGATGCAAGACGTCATGAGGATGCTGTGCTCCATTTCGGAGAAGAAGAAAATGTTAGTGGCTGTTGAGCCCTCTAACAGGTGTCGCCGACTTGCTATAGGTGGGGCCATCTTGGGTGCCTTGCTCGGCGGTCCCCCAGGACTCGCCGTTGGTAAGTGCCGTGCCTCGCAGGGGCCGCCGGCCTGGCGGCTGAGGAACAAAGGCCTCCCGTCCCAGACACCTCAGAGCGGCCTGTGTGCTGCGTGAGGAGCTTCTATGAAATGATCTTTGTGTACAAACCGCGTCCCGGGGAAAACACACGCCTCTGAGGCTGAGTCTCAGACGCCCAGGGCGCTCTGGACAGGGCTGCGCCAGGGATGTGTCTTGCGCCCCGGGTGGTCCCCCTGCCCCGCCATCACCGGCCTCCTCAGGAGGGGCGGCCACCGGGGGCACCCACTGCCTGGCCGGCTCGCACGAGCTGCCCAGAGGGCTGTCCCCGTTCCCAAGCCACACAGTGGATGCGGGAGAAGCGGCCGCCTCCGCCCACAGCATCCCCTGCCCCTGTCTCAGCAGCTGCCCCCGTGTGGGAGGCCGTTTCCGGCACCGACTGAAGTCTGGCTGATGTCCCTGGTCCCTGGGAGGGAGGGGGACGCTGCGGCCTCTGCACTAGGAACAGGGGCGTGTCGCGGGGGTGGGGGCGGCGCAACCTCGGGCTCGGGCAGCGTCCAGAACCGCGGGCGGGCGGTGGCTCCAGCTGTGGGCAGGGCGGGCTGCGGCCTGGCGCGGGGAGGGGCCCGCGGCGGACCCTGCCGCCGCGGGGCCCCGGCGAAGGGGCGGCCTGGCCCGCGGGCTCAGCAGAGATTCGGGACGGGCCGCCCTGGGTGCCGGGCAGCCCCGGCCGGGCGCCTCCTTTCACAGGAGCTTTTTCCTTGGATCGGTGTCAGACTGACAGGGAAGTCAGAGAGACGGTGGACAGAGGTCCCCTGTTCTGTCTCCTGGTGCCGGGATATCCGTCCCAGCCGGAGGCCGGCGCTGTCCCGGCACCGTTCTCTCTTCCCTGGACTTCAGGTCCATGGTTTTATCCGCTTTCTCGTTCCGGACCCTCTCCTGTCCCAGGGTCCCGCCTGCACTGTCGCATGGCCTTTGGTACCGCGCGTCCTTGGTCCCGGGGTCTGGGACGGTCTCTCGGACCTCGCGGGCGTTCACGGCCTCGGGAGGGTGGAGGGGGGGCGGCCAGGGGCTGCGTGGACGCCTGTCTGCCCGGGTGTGGCTGCGGCCTGTCTCAACACGGGCCCGCGCGGCAGATCTCGGCCCAGGACCTGCAGGGCGAGCTCCCTGGCCGTCGCTGCGCGTCAGGGACACAGACGTCCCCGGCATCTCCACGGTGATGTGCCCCTCGGCCACCGGGTTCAGGTCGCATTTGCCCGGTGTCCCCGCCGTGATGTCAGCGCCGCGTCTGATGTTCTCTGCTCTCTCAACAAGAGTCACTACGTCCCGCAGGCTGCCGCTCCCAAGGACAGCAGTTATACACAGGGCCCGGCTCACTGAGCCTTCTTTGTCTTCCAGGGGGCACCCTCGGGGGGCTCTTAGGGAAGGCGATGACGGATGACCCCTTTAAGCCCGTCCATAAGATCCTACTGGTATTGTCCCAAGACCAGCGGAGGAAGCTGTTTGATAGAGTCAAGGCCATTATCTGGAACCTGCGTTGGATAAACAACATGGAGCTGATGGAGCTGGTCATGCGCAGTGAGAGTCTCCAGCAGCAGCTGGCGGACATGCTGGTGGATTTCCTCAAGACGGAGCTCACGGTCGACGTGCAGTTTGGGGACCACCTCCTTGGGGCGGGGGTCCCACGGGACTGACGGGGGCTGGGGCGGCCGCAGCGCCGTGTGCCCCTTACACCTGCGATGCTCAGCCTTTTCACCGCGTGACACACGCAAAAAAACCACGGAAACTCGGGGGCACTGCAGAAAATAAATTCTAATTTCTGCTGACCTGACACACAAAAGAGGTGTACTTTTGGTTCACTCGCACCCGCCGCCTACTGTTGTGTTGTCTGTTGTCATTTTTTTACTGCCCATCTAAGGGAAAGAAGGTCAGTGCCCCGACTGAATAGTTACCTGTCCCATATTTTAAACTTTCTCGCGGCGCAGCAGGTGAAACTCCCCTCCTAGGGCGGCCCGGCGCCTCCTGCGGGAGAGGCCCAGGGGGGCCGCTTCGTGGTCCGGAAATTACGGACGAGGACGTCGTGCGGCGTGGCCGCGGGGGGCTGGTTTCCGAGCCCACCCTCCAGACGTGGAGTCCGGGGAGGTCACGGCGCTCGGCCGCTCGTCTATGAAGGCGACTTCTGACCCAGCACGCGTCGCGGGACTCGGCGCCCCCCCAGGCCCAGGGGCTCGGGGCCTGGCAGCCAGAGCCCCGGCATCATGGGGAGCCCTGAGGGCGCCCCGTCCCGCAGCCCGTTCCCGGGGGCCCCTGAGAGGGAGAGGCCAAGTGCACGCGGCCCTTCTGCCTCCCGCCTGCACCTCACTGTCCCAGCCGGGTTCCGCTTTTTAAGTTGTCGGCTTTCAGGAGAGGGCGCCATTGCTCTCTGTGGACGCGTCGGGTCACAGGCCATGGGAGAAGGTCGCACCGGAACCTTCCCACGCACTCCGAACCACAGCGGCCCTGGGCTCCAACAGGGTGCCTTTTCTGCACAGCCCCTCCCCCGCACTCCTGGCCGGTGACACAAACCCGCAGACTTGTCCCCTTCCTAAGGTAGGGGGCAAGGGGCAAGTTATAGGGTCAATGGCATCTTTAAAAGTATATATTATTTACTTATTTTTAGAGAGAGGGGAAGGGACGGAGAAGGAGAGGGAGAGAAACACTGAGGAGAGAGAGACATCGAATCGTTGCCTCTGGTTTGTACCCCAACTGGAGACCAAACGCAGGCTTGAGCCCTGACTGGGAATGTAACCTGCAAACTTCCACTCGGCAGACGATGCCCAACCCGCTGAGATCACCACGTGCGCCCCCACCGCGGCCAGGGCTGTGACATGCGGTCTTTAGGGCCGGTCCCTCCCAGGGAAGTTGTAGGGAAGCAGGTGTCCACGTTTTTCAGGCTGCAGTTCTGTTCGCTGCAGACTCCTTCCCGCGAGGCAGCGCTGCCCGGTGGTCTCCCAGCGACAGGGCGAGGCCCCTCGGGGCGCCCTCCCCCGGGAGCAGGCGGCGGCGCCTGCAATGACTGAGGGCACTGGAAGGCGGGGCGCCCGAGGGAGAGGATATGGGGGGAGGCTTTGGTTCCATCCCTTGTGGGAGCGTGGACGCTGCTCCTGCGTCCCGACCACTCTCTGGACACTGGGTTCTGCCTGGAGACACTGAGATGCGTGGAACGCGGAAACGGGGAGGGCTGGCAGGGGGCTCTGTGGGCCGCTGCTGACGTCGGTGCAGCATCCAGGCGGCACTCGACAGAGGCTTGCACTCGGGGTCGTTGGGGGTGACACCAAGGCCCCTGGCTGCCTGGGGCCACTGTAAGGGCAACACACAGCCCCTCCCGGGCGTCGGTCCCTGCACCTGCCGGGCGGTGGGCGGCAGGGCGTCTGAGAGCAGGAGAGAGGCCGACCTAGGGCGGGGCGGGGCGGGGCGCAGGGGGCGGCCCGCGGGGGGCTGCCGCGGGGCGGGGCCCGGTGGGGGGTGCCGGACTCCATGCTCAGGGTCAGGAGGGGCGGGCAGGGCCCGGGCCGCTCTCCGCCCGGGGGAGCACCGTCCACCCGCATTGGCCAGGCGGCCTGGGGGGCCGCTTCCTCCTCCCGCAGACGCTCCCCGCGGTTGCACGCCACGTGTCTAACCTGCGGAGCTGGCAGCGAGGCCGCGGATTTCCTCCCAGGCGCCCGTCTGCCTCGCTGCTGGAGCGTCGGCGCGAGGTCAAACGCTCGGTTGACCTCGGGTGCCCCTCGTGAAATCCAGAGCGGGGGGCGCCTGAGGTCAGCCCTGTGTTTCCTGTCTCCCGAAACGGTTTGCAAATGCGTATCGCACGCCATTACCATTTTTCTGTTTCTAATGATGAATCAAAAATGTATCTCCCATTCATCGACTTTAAAGGGAATAGCTTTCCCTTGTGTAACGACGCGCGCCCAGTGGAGTCCCCGTGGGCCCGTAAGTCCAAGCCTTTACAAGCTTTCCCCTCAGGACACTGGTGACAGAAATGGCTGGAGAGCAAAGTGACTTATTTAATAGGGTTATTCCTTTAACTGGTCTGATAACCATTCCTGTTCACAGTTTGGTTTGGGGGGGACGAGGGAGTTCTGACTCATTTACCAGATCTATTTCTACGGCAGATGTTTATGTAAAAGTTTCCCCGGAAACGCGGTTGAGTGTGACGCGTGGGCCATGCGGGCTCGCTCCTGGGTGTCAAGCAGAGGCTCCGCGCGGCGCTCACAGGGGCCAGAGGGGCCCTTAGGGGCAGCGGCCGGCGGGAGGAGGCCCGGGGAGCCCATGAGTGGGCAACGCTTTCCTAAACACCAAAGTAAGGGGGCAGGAGCCACAGGGCTGGAGCGGGCAGGAAGGGCAGGAGAGGAGGGGGGACGGGAGGGAGGCAAGAAAGAGAATGAAAGAAAGAGAGAGAGAGAAAGAAAGAGAGAGAGAGAGAGGGAAAGAGAACATCTCAATAGCATCCCCCAGGCGGCTGGGCAAACTGATGGTCAAGGGGTCTGTGGGCCAGGCCGGTGGAGCCGCGCTCGCGTGTGTCCGTCCTGCCCGTGGCTCTGGGCGGTGTCGCAGGGAACACCGCCAGGCCCAGCTGGCACGGGCGAGGGTGAGAAGCGCTGAAGTTTTAGCAGTTCGGGTTTATTTTTAGGCATTTAGGGGTATCTTTAGCTTCCCAGGAAATGAGTCCATCAGGAAGCTCGTATATGAAATATTCAGAACGGGAAAATTCGGGACAGAAATCTGAGGCCCCGGCCCAGGCCCTGCCCTCCTGCCCGTGCGGACGGGCCGCGGCTGGCCTCTAACACCTGCCTTCCTCTGCTCGCGCCTGAGGGGCAGCGGCCGAGGCTGGGAGACCTTCCAGGAGCTGGGAGCCATGGGTGGCCCCGCAGGCGCGGTCTGCACCGCGTGTGGCTTCGGAGGGAAGGAGGGGGGAGTCTGGCGGGGTCTTGGGACTCTGAGGTCCAGAGGGAGGCCTTGCCCAGCTAGGCCCCGAGGCCGGGGAGGGGAGGGGACTCCCTCGCTGGGCCCCATGTCGGCCAGCTCACCCGTTCACACAGAGCGTTCACTGGCCCCGGAGCCTGGCGCCCGGCACCGTGGAGCCAACCTACCCCTTGCCTGCATCTGCCCGTCAGGCTGGCAAAGCCTTCATAACACACTTACTCATAGAGGCATGCGACGGCCGTGTGCTGGCTTTGGGGCGACGCACCGTTTCCTAACCGCGCTCAGTATCTGCCCTCACGGTGGGCTCCCCGGCTTGGGGAGATGAGCAGGCCGATGGGGACACGGTGGGACACGCGTGTCGCCAGCCAGCGCTGTCAGGTCCTGGGGAGGCCGGAGCCCTTAGAAGCACCCCCTGCCTTTTCTCCTGAGACCCTGGGGTGGGCACCAGGTGGGGGCTCCGTGTCTCTCTGCTGAAAGGTCAGTGACTGGCCCAGGGAGGCGGGCGGGTGCAGGGCGGTGCCCGCGGCACAGGCGTGGGAGCGGGGCCGCCGACACTCCTGGCCAGGCCGGAGTCTGCGGCCCTTCCTGGTGGCCCGGGACGAGGCGTGCCGGTCTGCGGGGCCCCGGTGCCTCTTCCGCCTTCCGTGCCGCTGTGACCTCCACGTAGCCCAAGGCCCCGGCTCCTGAGCTGGGTGGCCTCCTGGGCAGTAAGGTGGCTGGCTTCCTGTCCACGTGGACAGGGGTCTGGGACACGGCCCAAGTCCTCTTGGCAGCAGGAGTGTGAGGCTTGCAAGTGCGTGCAGCCTTCCGCGTGGAAAAGCTCCGTGAGCAGAGGCCGCAGGGGGGCCAGCGCCCGGAGGAGGCTCTTGACTCCTGGCCTTCCCAGCCCCCACGGGTCTCAACCACGCACCTCTAGGGCGGCGCCGCGGTGGGGCCGTAGTAGGGAGGCCTCTCCATGTTCCAAAGACAAGCTCCAATGTCTGTATCTCTACCTCCATCCCTCCATCCACCATCCATCCATCATCCACCCATCCGTCCATCTACCCATCCATTTATCCGCTCACCCACCCATCCGTACAGCACCTGTCCATCCATCCATCCACCATCCATCCATCCATTCATCCATTATGCATCCATCCATCCGTCCATTTTCTTTCTTTCATCTATTACCTATCTGTCTGTCAGCCTATCTGTCTCTCTCTTCCCTCCAATATCTATCATATCACCTTATTTTGTTTTCATCCGTTCCTGTACTGTTACCTGAAGGACCCTCTTTGTCCCGGCGGCCGCCTCTCCTGAGCCGGAAGCTCGCTCTGTGGCCGCCGCCGTGAGAGCGGGCAGCACCCGTGGCAGGAGCCTGGCGGCGTCTGAGGAACGAAGGCGATCGAAGGACACCTCCCTGCGGAGACGGCCTCGCCGAGCAGGGGGCGGGGACGGGGAGCGGAGGCTCCGGCCTGTGGGGCCCTGAGCAGGAGCGGTGGTCGCCCCACCTCGCCCTCGCCTGCAAAGATGCTTCTCCTAAATTATTCTGAGGACTCCTCCCTGAAAAAAATCTCGTTGAGGTCTCAGCGTTGGTGGGGGTGGCTTCGAAAACTTGTTGTCGTCACGGTTGCCGGATTCTTTCCTGCGTGGGGCCCAGAGGACAGGCCGGGGCCGTGCAGGCTGCCTGCGCCGACGGCGGCGCCCCACACTCGCCTCTGCTCCCCGCTCCCCCCGGACACGGCTCCTGCCCAGCGGCTGGCCTGCACTCCCGGGAGAGTGCCCAGCTTTCCGGGGGGGGGGGCGCCCTTTCTCCCTCTCCACCCTCGCCCTTTGGGTGGGTCCACTTGTCACTCCACCGGGGAGAGGGGAGGCCCCAGGACTGGAGCT